TGTGACCTTAACAATTGTCGAAATCGAAACAGTGGCCGGAATTAAGAGGCGGCAGAACGGTCACCGGAGTAGTCGTCAGAATTAAATGCTATCGGAGAACAGTCGCCGGAGCAGTCATCGTTCACCGGAGTAGTCGTTGGAGCAATGGGAGTGGTGGAGATGGATGTGGGGTGGGTGGGATGGGATATATTATATTATATTACAGTTAAATATTTAATTTAATTTAATAATTGTGAAATATAATTAATTAATTCAAGAAAAACCTGATTTTTGCAATTTTAAATTTTGGGACCTGATTTTTGATTTTGGGATAGATAAAGCCTCAATTGTGAATTTTTCCCTTTAATTTAAAAGTCAATGGCCCACTTCAATTCTTTTTTTGCTGGATACCCCAAAATTTAAGCTAACAGAAATTAAAATTCAAGTTTTAATTTAAATTAAAGTCAATAATTAATTTTAACCACATATTTCATGGGATTCACAACTTTTCAACCACAAATTTTAATAATTTTTATCAAAATCTACTAAAAATGTGATTTTAGTTCACATCAAATAGTTGCTAAATAATGGGAGCCTCGAATGCACAGTCGTGCAACCCGGACCGGTCCACCAACTATTTTCAGTTTTCCGGTCAAGCCATCCTCTGATCCGATTTTACTTGCTATGCATACAATTATTGGAACTAGAATTGAATCTAAAAGTCACAATCATTATGTTCAAACTAAATGCATATTACAACAAATTTACAAACTGAATACAAGACAGAATTCTAGTTTTATCGAACTGTTACACGTGCGCGCGCACACCACGAAATCCAACTTTCCACTAGGTACTAATATTCTACATTTAGCATATGATGTGTTCTACTATACTTAACAATATTATGAAAGTAAATAAAAAAAACTAAAATCCTATTCAAACTTATCAGATAATTCATTTCAAACACACGTTTACACATTCATGATTTAATCGGGATTCCTCTACTTAGGGATTTTCTTGGAAAGGGACGAAATGGAGAACAAAACGAGCAATGCCAACAAAATGGACGCGATCAATGAAACTGCAACGGAAGCTCCGATATGCCTGCAAAACTCGTCATAGACATTACAAATCTTTCTCCATCCAGTGTGAGAATTACCTTTCAAACCTATATAAGCAACTCCACCTGCTGTTCCAGTTGCTGCTGCTACAATTCCTAAGTAAAGCTACACAAACATTGTTAAGAGTTAGTCGTGCCCCGTTTTTGCAAGAGTAACAAAGATGTGTCAAATGGACTAGATCGAACCATCTCGACTATAAACTTACAACATCGAATATGACGAAATGAGACACCAGTTTTGGACAGCTACCAGGCCTAAGGAGGGCAAACAAGGAAAAGAGACCGGTAATGATACTGTATAAGCCCGTAGCAGAAAGTGCGGCTACGAAGTATCTGCGCAAGGGATTATCAAATTGGAATTAGCTTGTCATTATAATTAAAATATCATAATGAAATTATAATAAAATTAAGACACTTATATATGGTGCATGTTCGGCTAAGCTTTAAAAATATAAGTATAGTTATGATTAAAATAGATATTTTTTTGTTGGTCAAAGTTATAGATAAGTGAATTGCTTAAGTAATCTCTATTTTACTTTTGAAATAAGTAATTTTTTTTAGTTGTAAAAAAAGTAGCTTATCAACACACACTTATAAATTAAAACTTCAAGTTAATTTTGTCCATAATTTCAAAACTTTGATATTTAGGGGTTGTTTTACAAAGTTTTAGCAGATTTTGAAGGAATTTGATGAAAAATGTGATTGAAAAATTGTAAAATTTGTGAATCCCAAGAAATTCATAATTAAAATTAATTACTCATCTCTCTCATTTATATATGCCGATTTTCCTTATTTTTTTCAATTTTTGCTCTATTTATATAGTCATGTTACTTTACTGAGAAAGTATTTGTTTTGTTCGTTTACTAATATACCCCTATCTAATTTACCTAGTTATAATCATTTTTTTCCTATTTAATCTTAAAATTGTATAGGTTTTAATTTACACTCTTATTGGAATCATCCAAATACATGCATACACACAATTCTCGAAGGGGGTAAAGTTTAAGTGATTCTTAATATTTAATTTTTCTAGTTTTCGCCATTATTTTTAAATACTACTAATAGTTGTTGATAATTAAATAAGGGTAAACTTATAAAATTCTTTTCAACAATTGCTTTTTCAATGACATTAAAATGAAATTTCTCAGTCCGTGTGAAAAACAAAATCAGTTTATATAAATGTATCTTTCCAAGTTTTTTCAAACAATCACTTTTGATTTCAAAACTTTGACATTTGATAAACACTAGAGTTTCCATAGAGAAAATCAATACTATTCAAAAACTATAAAAAAAATTTCAAAACTCAAAAATGTCCCAAGAAAAAAACTACCCAAGCTTCTTTAACAAGCGAAGAAAGGGAGATTAGACAGCAGGATCGTTGATTAGACGGATCTACAACAAGAGGTAAATATAATAAATTTGAAAAGTTATAAAAGAATTTTTGAGAAACATAATTAGGAATTCAACTTTTTGCAATTTGTTGAGGTCTTCGAATGGCTTTACTAGTTATGCTACGAAAAATTATATTTTCGCAACATTTTGTGTCCTACTTTTTCCATTTCGTCTTGTCCTTTCTGTTTCTGTGCAACCTAGTTACCTGCACTTAGATAAATAGATAGAGTGAAATATTGAACTTACATGAAAGCTGGCGAATGATTGAACTTAGCAGACATTGGAGCCTTGAATGGATAAATTGGTATTGGAACTATTTCAGTTTGCTTACTAGTAACCATAACCAAAACAGCAACCAAAGCTGAAGCAAACAGGAGGAATCTCAAAACTACATCAACCAATGCAAAGTAGGCAGCCGAAGCTCTCGACTCCGTTGGAGGTCGTGGTGGTGCCATCGGTGGCCGACTCGCTTCCTTCTCCCATGACGAGGTGGTTTCGGGATGTGGAGCCGTCTTGTAGGGTTCCGAAGACATTGTACCTGATCTAGCTAAGTTTTGTTGATTATTATAGGTGTGGATGAAGATATATTACGCATGAATGTGATAATATATAGAGAGAAAATTGATGTCTTTTTGACTCAGGTTTGGTTGGAGTTTTCTACACGCCAAGTAATGGTTTTATATGATTAATTTCTTCATTCCCTATCATAGTTGGAATACTTGACTATATTGCATTTCTAAGCTTTCTTACTATATTAGATTCGAAGTAATTGGGTAGAAACACGTAACTTTTTTTAGTCCTAATCAATTCATCTCTGGAATTATCTTCATTTTTAACCGTACATTTTATGGAACACACAATTTTTATCAATTTTTGTCAAAATATAATTTTGGATTTTTCCACTTGTACATCAAGTGGTGTACATCAAGGACTACACCCCCCTCACATGGGGAGTGGGGTCCACTAGAATAATATTTTTTTATTCGAGTGGACCCCACCCTCCATGTGAGGGGGGTGTAGTCCTTGATGTATACCGTGATGTACCGGTAACATCACCCTATAATTTTTAACTAAACCAAACATTTGCTTATTGTACTAAACATATCTTTTCAAATTGGCCGAAAATTCCCCTATATGACCTTTGAGTTGCGAATGACCCCATTTTCTTCCATTTTCTCAATAAAACCTTATGAAATAACGAATATACCCTCGTATTTAAATAAAGCAAAAGGACAAGAAGAACAAAAATAACTGAGGTCGCTGGCCACCGTAAAAATCTTCACCATAGAATCCAACGTCAATTCAATCGCCGAATACGCTTCCAACGTCAAACTTTCATCCATTGCCACATATTTTGGAGCTTCAAAACCATTAGACTCAGTCAAAGCCTCCGCGTCAAGAATATTACTAGTAGTAGCAGCAGCATTGGAATTGAAAATTGAGCATGTTCTCAATGCTCTAAATGAGGAAGCAAACATAATCTTGTTATTATTAATATTGTTGTTCAAATTAAAATGGCGAACAAGGCGGCGGTTGGGGGAGGTTCCCATCATGCGCACCGATGCCAGGTTGACGGTTAAAACGAATTCGCAGCATAGTGGTGGAGGCGGGAGCCAAAATCTCTGCTCCAAGGGTACAATTTTAAAGGAGTGGTGTTGGCTTAACCGATTGGATTAAAGTGTGTTGGCTTAATTGATTGGATTGGTGGGGGTGGGGGTGGGGGTGCGGGGGGTGATTTGTTTTTATTCTTAATTTTAAATTATTTGTTTGGGAATCGTTTGCTCTTTATGAAAAATTTGGGATTACAATGGAAAATTAATTCTTTTTTTTTTTACTTAAATATAATGATATATTCGTCATTTCATTAGGCCTTATCGAGGAAATGGGGTCTTTTGCAACTCAAAGGTCATATAGGGGGTTTTCAGCCATTTTGAAAAGATATGGAGCATTTGGCAATACGTCCATACGATGGGGAAATTGCACCAATAAGGGCGATAATTGATTAATCCATTAATGTGAAGAAAATTTTTGATGAGTATTTTCTTTGTATTCTTGAACATTATCACATATGAAATATTGGATATAACGATTATATAATGATCAAAATTTTAGATTTATTATTATTATTTTTTGTCATTATAATAATGTTGTCTAATCAAGTGTGTGACACGGTAAATTTTTATCTATTGTCATATGAACTTGCCAGTATTCAATTTAGTGAAGAAAATTTCAATGACTGTAACTTTCAAGATGAATGCCTGAATAATCCATCTTCTGCAAATAATTTTTGTGAGTTTCCACTTGAAAGGTGTGAACATGATGCTTTGAAGTCAGTCTTGACGTATAATCAATGGCCGTTGTGCTGTCATTGCTTAAGCATTCATATATATCTTTGACTGTGATTTCCATACATTAGCTGTTTATTTGTTTAATGTAGAAGATAAAGTTTAAAGTTTCTTCTATATATTTTAATTGGTCAATGGTCAGTGGGAAATTATTTTCGAGGTACCTCAATTTTAGGATTCGTCTGTAACGAGGAACACTCTTGTCTACATTCGATGAAGACCATGCTCGAATTTTATTTTGAAAATTTAACTTAGAGGAGTATTTAAAGCTCTTGTTACAATTTTCACTAGGGGTGGGCGTGGGTTGAGTTGGGTTTTTACTCAACCCAAACCCAACCCAACATATTCGGTTTGATATAAAATCAACCAAACCCAACCCAATTACTTATTTGAACCCAACCCAACCCAATATTTTTACTCAACCCAAACCCAACCCAACATATTCGGTTTGATATAAAATCAACCAAACCCACCCCAATAACTTATTTGAACCCAACCCACCCCAATTTGGATTGGGTTGGTCGGTTTGGAGTTCACCTTTTGTCCACGATCCCCAGTGAAGGCATATTGTATTAACTAGGGTAGCATCATTGATCAATATAAACAATTAAAGCTCGAGTTCCAAAAATTGAACACTGTAATAACCAAAACCAAGCATTGCATTGGCATAAAGATGTCAAAAGAGTTCCACATGACATTATATACTGTAAGAGACAAAAAATGAATTGCAGAACAAAAGTGGATGTGAATCAATAAGCTGCCGCCATAACCAAAAGTATTAAAAAGTTGAAGGCTAATGTTAAAAAGAGCAGATTCCTAAATTAAATTTTCTTCCTGCTTTTCTTTGTCCAGTTCTTCAATTTCAATATTATCCATCCTCTCCAAAGACTCGCCTTCCCCCAGCCTCGTTGTTCTAAAATTTCATCTCTGCTTACCACTTTCTCTTGATCATCCTCAATGGCTTCTCTAACCTTATCATCATCATTACCATTTTGGACTAAACCCAAGTTATGGGGAAAAATTCTAATAAACAGTCTAGTAATGTAATGTGAAACAATTTGATGAAGTTAGGAACAAAAACACTAGATGAGTCACTGCATATTTTGTCTTCCATATAGAAGACGAAAATGAATTAAAGTTACCTTCCAGTACCAGGCAAAAGAAGATCTGCTTCCTTGTTATCAATTGAGAATGCATTCAAAGTGTTTCCTCGAATACGTGTACCAGGTAGAGTGCTGACTCTCTCTTCCCTATTTAAGGATTTTCTTCTTCAAAAGGAGACCCATTTTCATTTTCGATCTCCCACATTTTCTGAAAGAAGACAGGATAAGAAAAGATCCCATGAACATCACATAAGAAAAATTGAAGACTACTTGCGAGGCAGCGATCCTTGACCATGGACAATCGGCGACTGTAATTGTGGTGAGAAAAAAATAGAGGCGGCGGTGCGAGTGGAGTGGAGTGCGAGTTTGGGACTGTGGCTGTGGGAGCGAGAGAGAGAGAGGGAATAAGGTTAGGGTTTGTTTGTCTCGTGAGTTCGTCTCTGTCTTTTGAGTTTTGTAATTGTTTTTTTTTCCTTTAAATTAAGTGGGGTGAGTCGGGTTGGGTCGGTTTGGGTTAACTCGGTTTTAGTGGAACAACCCGCGACCCGACCCACCTTCCTCACCCAAAAACTGAACCCAACAAAAAAAATGAAAAAAATCAACCCAAACCGGTCGGTTTGGGTCAGGTTCAGCGGGTTGGACGATTTTTTGCCCACCCCTAATTTTCACATTCACGTGATATGAACTTTTAGTGGCTCATTTTGAGAACATTAGTTGTAAAATTCGAGTGTTCATTTGAGTTTTGTAATTGATTTTTTTTTTCCTTTAAACTAAGTGGGGTGAGTCGGGTTGGGTCGGTTCGGGTTAACTCGGTTTTAGTGGACAACTCGCGACCCGACCCGACCCACCTTCCTCACCCAAAAATCGAACCCAACAAAAAAAATGAAAAAAACCGACCCAAACCGGTCGGTTTGGGTTGGGTTGAGCAGTTTTTTGCCCACCCCTAATTTTCACATTCACGTGATATGAACTTTTAGTGGCTCATTTTGAGAACACTAGTTGTAAAATTCGAGTGTTTATTTGAATTTTTTAAAATTTCATTTTTGTTTTAATTATTGAGAGAAGAGTAGTTTAGGGTATATTCTTTTTGCTGTTTTCAGACCATTTTCAATCTTCAATTTTCGAAAATATTGAAAAAAAAAAACACGTTTACTTACATATTTTCAAAAACAAATTTCCAAAAACGAGTTTAAAATTTACAAAGAAAACGGAAAACGACAAAAAAGTCCTTTTTGCTGTTTTCAGTTAAAACCAAGTCAAAACTTCATATTTTTATTTTTGAAAATAATTTTTCAAAATGACAAAAAGAACTCGTTTTCAGCAATCTCAAAATGGACACTCAAAACACAAAACCTAACATGAATTCAAAATTGAAAACTAAAAACTAAAACACGAAGAGAACAACTCATTAACTTCTTATATATTGTTCATAAACTTTTTTTTTTTCAAGCAATATACGATTTTATCCTAAACGTGCAAATGATTTGGCAAAGTGAGCTATTGATGCACTCAAGACTTTGTTTGGCATTTGCATGCTTTTCGGCTTTTGATGTGCTTAAGTAATAATTAGCAGTAAGGAGAATCAATTAAGCATTTGATAAACTTTTATTTCAAAATTAATATTATGTTTTAAATAAACATTTTTGCATTTGGTAAAAGAAAGTGATATATTGTTGTGCACGTATATAATTATTAAAATCGACATTGATTATGATAATTTTCTTTTATATTACTACAATAATTGGTTGTATTTTAAATTTTATTTCTACTTTTATAACAATATGTAATTTAATCAAAAAAATTTCTAAGACAATGTATTCAATATAAAATTATGGTTCCCTAATATCCAAAAAATCACTATTTTAAATCACGTTTTCTCCCAAAATCTCATTTTAATGGAGCTCAAACAAGGGTAAGGCCCCCATTTTTTAAGATATATTTTTTCGCTTTTGTGTTTTTTTTGAAAAATTCTATCATTAATAACACTAAAAAGTTTAAAAGATTATGAATACTTTTTAGTTAATAATTTTAAAAACATAAATAGTTTACAATTTAATTAATAAAGATATAAAAATTAANATTATA